TGATGGCCACAAACAAGGATGTTATTATGTAAACATGGTTTCATACTTATATGAAGGTTTGGAAGTCAATTCGGGTCGACTGGAGAAGCAAGAAATGGAGAAGAAAATAACTGAAATCCCTCTGCTTGACCAAATCCTGCATGCTGCATAGATCGGTGTAAACCTCATAGGACATCCCATAAAGGTAATGCCTCCAAATCATAAGAGCATGAACAATCGCGGCCAACTCGAAATCACGTACAGGGTAATTCTTCTCATGGGACTTTAGCTGACGTGAAGCATATGCAAACTTGCCCCTCCTGCGTCAATACACATCCCATGCCGATGCGTGAAGCGCCGCAATACACAATATACATCCCCGAACTGGAACTCAACACTAGAACTAGTGCCGTAGTCAAAGTTATCTCGAGCTTGTGAAAGCTCGCCTCACAATCGTCGGACCAATGGAACGGAGCGCCCTTCTGGGTCAATCTAGTCAAAGGTGCTGCAATAGATGAGAAGCCCTCCACAAACCGGCGATAATAACCCCCAAGATGCTCCTGATCTCAGTTGCCGTAGTAGGACGAGGCTAACTCTGAACTGCCTCGATTTTTTTGGGATCTACCTTAATACCCTCCCCTGATACAACATGCCCCAAGAATGCCAAAGAATCTAACCAGAACTTACACTTGGAGAACTTAGCATAAAACTTATATTCCCGCAAGGTCTGAAGTACCACTCTCAAATGATGCTTGTGCTACTCCATGCTACGTGAGTAGATCAAAATATCATCAGTGAAGATGATGAAAAATGAATCAATATATGGCCTGAACACCCGGTTCATCAAATCCATAAACACCACCAGGGCGTTAGTCAAATCGAAGGATATCACTAGAAACTCATAATTGCCATATCTCGTCCGGAAAGCCGTCTTTGGAACATCCGAATCCCGAATCCTCAACTGATGGTATACCGATCTCAATCCGATCTTGGAGAACACCCCGGCAACCTGCAAATGGTCAAATAAATCATCAATACGCAACAACGGGTACTTGTGCTTAATGGTAACTTTGTTCAACTGGCGATAATCAATGCACATCCGCATAGTCCCATCTTTCTTCTTGACAAATAACGCTAGCACACCCCAGACGATACACTCGGTCTGACCAACCCCTTTGCGAGTAACTCCTCAAGTTGTTCCTTCAACTCCTTCAACTCTTTTGGAGCCATGCGGTACGGTGGGATAGAGATAGGCTGGGTACTTGGAGCCAAATCATTACAAAAATCGATATCACGATCTGGCATGCTTGGAAGATCAGAAGGAAACACATCGGAGAACTCCCGGACTACAAGCATTGAATCAATCGCTGGAGTCTCCACAGTCGTATGTTGAACATATGCTAGATAAGAAAAATAACCTTTCTCGACCATGTGTCGAGCCTTCATAAAAGAGATAATCCGACTAGGTACGCTGACAGACGAACCCTTCCACTCCAATCTAGGCAACTCTAGCATCGCCAAGGTAACAGTCTTGGCATGGCAATCAAGGATGGCGTGATATGGAGATAACCACTCCATGCCCAGGATGACCTCAAAGTTGATCATATCCAGCGACAACAGAATCGCTCAATATGGAGATAACTAATCTCATAACAACAGAAAGTAACAATGCAGGACCGATAGATCCAATCCACACTACTACAAAAAAGACCTTTAGCGGCAATTATTTAGTGGCAATAAGGGAATTGTTGCTAATAAATTCTTTGAGCTGAAAAATTAGCGGCGCATGAGCATTAGCCAGTAAAAGATATCCTTTTACCGGCAATAAAAATACAATTGCCACTAAAAATTTCTAATTGAATTTAATTTTTTTATTATTTTAATGTTTCCCTCCCCACAAAAAGAAAAACATCGTTCCCTCCAAATTTTTTGGACGAGAATTATCGTTCCCTCCAATTAGAAACTTGTAGGAACTAGGAAAACATATTTCCCTTTAGTAGAAACGGATACTATCAATTGAATAGGAAAACCTAAATTGCTGCTGCGTCAATTTCCAGTACCTCGTCGTGGATTTTTTTTTCCAGGTAAGTTCTCTCGTTCTTATGACCTTCTCTTCTTCCCCTGTTAATTTGTCTTCTTCCCCTGTTAAATTGGTTGCTTGCAATCGTTTTGCAATACATTATTGATTGATGCTTCTCAATTTTTATATGGATTGAACGATAGGAAAACCTAGATTGTTGCTGCGTCAATTTCCAGTACCTCGTCGTCGATTCTTTTCCAGGTAAGTTCTCTCGTTCCTGTGACCTTCTCTTCTTCCCCTGCTAATTTCTCTTCTTCCCCTATTAAATTGGTTGCTTGCAATCGTTTTGCAATACATTATTGATTGATGCTGCTCGATTTTTATATGGATTGAACGATTTACAGTGGATTGATGCTGCTCGATTGTTTAGTTGGATTGATTTATAATGGATTGATGGTTGATGCTGCTCGACTGATTATATGGATTGTTTTACAGTGGATCCTTTTGCTCGATTGTTTATATAAATTTATTTACAATTGATTGATGATGCTTGATTGTTTAAATTTGCGTTGCCTTTCCCAACAAACTCTCATTTAATCACTTTGATAATGTTTGAAGACAGTGATTCATCCCAATTCTGAAACGGCAACCTTAAATATAGCAATAAGCAGAGTGTTAAATGAAAGAAAACAAACATCTGTGACAGAGTATTATAAGTGTAAAGCACAAGACAATACGTTTGTACATGATCTGCTTCCTATCTGCTTCCTTTTCTGGTTGCATTTTAGGCTACACTTCAGTCTTCACGAAGAAATTGTAGAAAGCAAAATTGTAAAGAGGCTTTGTTCTTTTATATTACAGTTAGGTGCATAAGGTATTATGTATTCGAAAGGCTGACTAGAAATTAATCCAAACTGGAACTTTGTCACTGTCGACTAAACAACTTGTCTTGTATTATTTTTGTTTCTTTTCTGTCATCATGGTTAGGAATGACGACTTATTCGAATTCATATAATGACAACCTTTAACATAAAATATCTTACAAGCAGTAAATTTATGGTTTTCGATAGTTCACCTTCTTCTGGATCCTCTTCAACTTGCTGACTCCATAGTTTCCCTCCACTTAATTGTAACCTTTCATTAACATTGGACTCCTTCAATGCTGCATCTATATCAGTAGCCTGAGAATGGATTTCTTGACAAGACTGATTGGTTGTAACAGGATTGCCTGCAAAAGCTCTATTAACCCATGCTGTTGTGGACTCCTTTTGTACACCCTCAACTATTGCACTCTCATTCCCAGTAATGTTTCCATCTTTTCCTTTCCTGGATGTACTCCCAACCCGAGTAGATTTAGGGGTAAATATAGCTGCCTTGAGATTAGTAGTAGGACTACTAGGTTCAGCACTTCCTTCTACCATAACCAATTGGTTATTGTTCTCCTCATCATCAGTATTCTGATATATTCAAGACAGTATTCAATTTATGATAAGCTAACCTAGTCTTGGAACAATATAAAAGGTAAACAAAATCTCTACCATATGTTTTTATGGTTATTCAATCTTTCCAACAAAAAGGCTAGCAGAAGTTTTGAATCAGAAGAGTGGTAGAACCTACTGTTTAAGGAAAACAGCACCAACTTGTAAACATTGTTAGATGTCTTTTACCTCCTTTTATAGACTTTCTGATGTTTTTCAGGAAATTATACGTGGTTGTATCATCTCCTGCACATCGTTGCTTTTTGCTTGTAAAGTATTAGCCGTCTAGATTTCTCTTTTCGTTTCCCACCAACATCGCCTATGGTGATACTGTGCACTTCATAATATTGGATGCAATATTTGGTTTCAGTTATGAAACAAGCTTATACATTTGTTTAGTAATAATTTTTGAAAGTATAGCTTTTTATGTTTTACTAAGTCGTTTGTGATATCTGGCTGCTGTTAGATTGATAGTCGATTGATTGAATTGTTTGCTCCTCTATTCTGGTATTATTTTCTGAATTGGTTCCTCTGTATGTTTTCTAAGGCTACTTTTTACCATTTAAAAGCTCAATAGCCAATAGGACTCTCAACCACAGTAATTCATTCGTTTGTTAAGAAACAACTTGGGTTGTTAGCAATATATAGAATCCTTCGACAATCAGTACCCATTAGTTTCTTTTTAGTTATAGTCAGAATGTCCAGCCTTAAAAATTTGTATAATTTATAAGTTCAATAATTCCATTCTTAAAAATTTTATGAACCAATATAGTGAAAAATGGCTAGTTGTCTTTGGCTAGATTTCTTTCTCATTTACATGTTTATTCTATGATGACTATGATCTGTTTATAAATAGCAAAATATTCGATATCGATTGAGCCCCCTATGTAGTAGCCCCATATCACTACAATCATCGTCTTATTGTTAAAAAAGTTCACACCATTTTAGGCATTGCATAATATGTTGAATTTTTCAAGTTTATTTATTCTGTCTCTTTCTTGTCATGTTTAGTTTAAGTAGTCTTTAACTTAAACTTTAGATGGATGATTTCCTCGCAATTATATTAGGCTTTGTATACTTTTAATATATAAACTAACTTATATTCCATTTAGCTTTAAAACTAGTTAAATTGGCGCTCAAAAGAGCTAAAAATAAATTGGTAAAAATGGAGTATATATCTGGATATTCAACAAATATGAGTAGTAAGTTTTGAAAATTTTAAAATATATGATATATGGTTCTTCTATAAAATATAACTTTAATAATTCTATTCTTAAAAGATTTATGAATCAATTGTTAAAATAGTTTAACTGTTTAATAGTTTAATTGTTAAAATGATAGTTGTAATAGATTTATGTTTGATAGTTTCAATTGTTAAAATGATATCTTTGAACTATGGAATTACCTACTAATAGGATTGGTTTTTTATTTTGAACTACCTTTTTTATTAATTTCTCCTTTTTACTAATAAATTTGTAGCTCTTGCAGTAATTACAGAAAAGAAAGGAATATTCTTGAACGTCATGGACAATCCTAGAAATAAAAGATGGATGTATTGTGATAGAGTTAGTAAAGAATATTTTGAGGGAGTAGAGGATTTTTTATATCATGCATTTTTTGAAAAACAACGTGGAGAAAAAATTGCATGTCCTTGTACGGAGTGTGTGCTTATCCATCAAGTAAATCGGGCTACAGCATATGATCATCTTGTGGTTAATGGTATTGTACCGTCATATGATACTTGGTTTTTTCATGGGGAGTCTCTAAAGGGATCAAACAATGCTGGAGAAAATAACCGAAGCCATTCAACTCTAAGGGGCGATGATATGCGAGGAATGATACATGATGCATTTGTAGATGTTACACAGTTCATGGATACCGACATTAGTGAAAGTGGTGGCATGGATCAAAACGTACAAGAGAATACTGCTCATCCATCTGGAAATCAACCTCATCCTGAGGTGGATAAGTTTGAACGACTCATGAAGGAGGCAAATGAAGAATTATATCCTGGATGTAAGAGGTTTAGCAAACTGTCCCTTTTGCTGCATATGTATCGTATAAAATGCACGTTCAAATGGTCAAATGAATCTTTTAATTCTTTTCTTGGACTATTGAAAGATGCGCTTCCTAAAGAAGAAAAATTGCCTCCTTCTTTCTATGAGACCAAAAAGATAGTTGAAGGCTTGGGCTTAAAGTATGAAAAAATTTATGCTTGTCCTAACGATTGCATGCTTTTTAGGAAAGAGTTTGCTAATAAGAATGTTAATAAATGCAAAGTTTGTGGAGCTTCTAGATGGAAAAATGATGCTAGAAAAATTCCAGCCAAGGTCCTAAGGTATTTTCCTTTAAAACCAAGGCTACAGAGATTGTTTATGTCTTCAGAAACTTCTAAAGCAATGCGATGGCATCATGAAGAGCGCAACAAAGATGGAGTTCTACGATATCCTGCAGATTCTGAAGCTTGGAAAAATTTTGATATAAATATCCCAAATTTGCTGGAGATCCTCACAATGTGCGCCTAGGATTAGCTTCTGATGGGTTTAATTCATTTGGCACAATGCGAACTGTACACAGTACATGGCCAGTGAATTTAATTCCGTATAATCTTCCACCATGGATGTGCATGAAACAAGAGTTCTTCATTTTGTCCTTACTTATTCCAGGACCAAAAGCTCCTGGAAATAATATTGATGTCTTTTTGCAACCATTAATAGAAGAGTTAAATGAATTATGGGATGATGGGATAGAAACATATGATGCCTCTGCTAAGGAGATATTTCAAATGCGAGCAGCTCTCATGTGGACTATAAATGGTTTTCCAGCATATGGTACTCTCTCTGGATGGTGCACTTATGTTCGGTTTGTATACCCTTCTTGTAACATAAACACTCAATCTAGAAGGCTCACACATGGCAGAAAGTTTGTTACATGGGGCATCGGCGCTTCTTGAAGTCGGGACACAAATATCGGAATGATGCAAAATCGTTTGATGGTACTAAAGAAACAAGACTTGCACCTTGTCCAGTATCTGGGTCACTAGTGTTGAATCAAGTTAAAGATATAAAATTTACTCTCGGCCAGTCGAGTGAAGGGGTAAGTGGAGTGATGAAAAACGAATGGAGAAAGAGGAGTACTTTTTTCGATCTTCCTTATTGGAAGTCTAACTTGGTGCGCCATAATCTTGATGTGATGCACATAGAAAATAATGTGTGTGATTACTTAATTTATACATTATTGGATCTTGGTAAAAAGTCTAAATATAACTTAGAAGCTCGATTGGATTGAAGGAGATGAAAATAAGACCAAGTTTATGGCCTCAATATCGAGCTAGTGGGAAAGCATATCTTCCTCCTACTTTTTTCACAATGTCTCAAAAAGAAAAAGAGTTATTTTATGAAGTACTACAAAATGCCAAGTTTCCAGATGGCTATGCGTCTAATATCTCACGCTGCATTCGGAAACGAAAGATATCTGGGCTAAAAACTCATGATTGTCATGTTATAATGCAAGAACTTCTTCCCATCGGCTTGCGGAGATCAGCAAATAAAAGAATTAGTTCCATTTTAATTGAACTATGCACATTCTTTCGTGTTCTATGTAGCAAAGAACTAAAAGTAGAAGAGTTTAAGTTGCTTGAAGAAAAAATTCCAGAAACTTTGTCTACTATGGAGAAACTTTTCCTCCCAGGATTCTTCACTGTTAAGAATAACACTGAAACTTAATTATATATATTTAGTTGTTAAATATTATAATATCAAACTAATACCATTATTTTATTCCATAGGTATTTGGGTACTTTAAAATCATATGTCCGTAATCGTGCATGTCCAGAAGGTTCGATAGCAGAAGCATACATAGCAAATGAGTGTACGGCATTTTGCTCACGGTATTTGGAGGGTGGAGATTCAAGGTCTTATTGTTCAAGAAAATGCAGTGATGAGATTGAACATGAGATTAGTAAAGAATAATGTCTTTTTCCAACTGTTGGGGAGCCGTGCGATGGAGTAGATGTATTTGAGTTGGATGAGAAAACAAGGTTGCAAGCACATCGACGTGTGCTTTTCAATTGTGAGTCAGAAGTGGTTGAGAATTATAAAAAAAGTTTTATATCTATTGTTTAATATATGTATATTACTTAATTGATAACAAAATTAATATATGTGTGTTACATCAATAGGGAACATATTGCTGAAATCAAGAGATCACATCGTATACGTCGTTTGACTCAACATCAACTTGATCGTGTGCATTTCGATACATTTCATGAGTGGTTCAAGGAGCAAGTAAGTAGTAGGACTAAGTTATTGGCTATGTTAAATTATTGTCCTTGTACAAATATCCACATTTATAGTTGTATCTCTTATTTGGTTAGATAAAGGAGCTTGAAGCCACATCTAACATCTTAAAGGATGTTAAAGTCCTTGCACAAGGTCCGAGTTACATTGCGAAAAGATTTCATGCGTTCGATGTAAATAACGGGTATCGATTTCGAACGAAGCAAAGTGAAGAATTTAAGGTGACACAAAATAGTGGTGTTATGGTCGTTTCAAAGACTGAAAGTTATGCAAGTACAAGTGACAATACTCCAAAGTCTGCAAATATCACATATTATGGCAGATTGAATGATATTATGGAGTTAAACTACTATGAAGAATTTAAGGTTGTCTTATTTAAGTGTGATTGGGTTGATGTAACCAAAGGCAGAGGAGTTAAGGAAGATGACTTGGGTTTCACACTTGTGAATTTCTCACGCCTAACAGACTCTGGCGATCGAGAACGTCATGAGCCCTTTATTTTTGCAGAGCAAAATCAACAAGTAATATATGTACAAGATCCTAAAGATCATGAATGGTTTGTCTCTAGGTTAATTAAACCTCGAGATATTTTTAATATGGGAGAGGAAAATAGTTTGCAGTTTGAGTCATCAATGCAGAGTGATGCCACTAACTTGGCTCTCTTAGAAAATACTTGCGTTCCAGAAGATGAGTATAATTATTGGGTAAGAAGTGGTGTCGATGGGATAGTAATTGATGCAAAAGTACATTCTCAAGATTCTCCAAATGATGGTAAAGCTAGTGTTGAGGGAGGAAATGACAATGAAAATAAATATGATTCTGAATAAGATAAGTGGAACTTATAGAATATTTTTCTTGCAAATGTTATTTAAGAACTTCTTGTGATTTTTTTACTGCAGAAATTTGAATAAATATACTTTTTTGCTTTCAATTTGAGTCATTTTATAGAAGATGCATGTTAGTTGGCTATGGATTTTTCATGTTTGTATTGGTTGATTTGAGTCAATTCTTTGTGCTTTCTTTTACTTGTATTTTGCTGATTGTACTCATTGTATTGCAATATGCTATGGTGTTATTATCGTTGGACAATAGTTTTTTCTGGTGCATCAATACTTTTTATCTCTTTAACTATCTCTGTCGCAAGGCTTTATTCGTGTGCACGAATTGCTATTCATTTTTTTTCACAACTTGAGACGAGGACTATGTTTCCTCCTATTTTGCGTGTGACCTGCTGATTGGTTGGAGTTAATTTGGTACTAGTATAACTTAATGCATCTAGAAAATTTCTTTATTTTGGAAAAGGAACTATGCAAACTAGAGGTCGCAATCGACTGGTAATTGAACAAGATTATGATGAAGATGTGAGACCTTATATTGAGCACTTGATGGATGGTCAAAACTACTCTAGAGCCCAGCCATATATTGAGCAGTTGATGGATAGTCAGAATTACTCTAACGCCCAAGCACGTGATGGTCAATCTAATGAGTTGAATAGTTCTGATGGTGGCACTGAAATTCCAAATGATGACGATTCAGGTAATGTTTCTATAGTATTGTAATCTGATAATGTATAATATTAGATTATGGCTTTCAACACTGTTTATCCTTGTTTCCTTGTAATGGTTGCACATCATAAATGCCTATTGCATAGTGATATTTGATTTACTTGGTGCTTTCTTTGACTTTAGAGGTTTTATTGTTTATTTGGACTTACGGTTTCCTTAAAATCTCGACACATTACGAACTGGTTAGCTTCTTATCTATGCAATTTTAATTCCCTCTAAGTAGACTAGAAAAATGAAGCCTAGGAGTGCTGGAAAGTAGGTACATGATCTCCCTTTAACACTTCTGCCACGCTGCTCTTTATAGTATTTTGTCGAACATCCGATTTTTATGGGAATAGGTACATGATCTCCCTTCAAGCAACTGCTCGTGCACTAGGATTCTTGGACTGTTGCTACTGTTTTACACTGCCTGGAGATTGCTCTCTATTAGGCTTCTTGGTCGGAGACTTAGTTACTTGTTTCCTTGCTGAAGTAGGAGAATTCCCAGCCTCCTTTTGCACTACCCTTGAGTCTTCCACCACTGTCACCTGTTGATTCTGAGCTGTGTCTTCCACAGCCTTGTCAAGTACTGCAAATTTATTTGCAACTGGCACAATTGCATTAGCTGTTGTTGTCACTACTGTACCAGTTGTAGCCTCAAGGACACCTATAGTATACTTACCTTTAGAAATGGGCATTATGATACCCGATGCATGGGCAGCCTCAAAACCATAAACAAACACCAGATTAATTAACTTCTTCATGAATGTTTATGTGAACAGAAAGTAGCATCTTGAGTTCGAGCTTTTTGGCTTTATATGTTAAACATGTTCCTGCCAATCTGATCTACTAATTTTCCATCAAACAATATTCAGTACAATATTTAGGAAGATAGTCATATTGAACTTTAACCCACTATGTTCTTACCTCCTTAGTCTCTTCATTCTCAATATCCATGCCTATTTTCTTAGGTAAATCAGCCAGTAGGTTCACCTATATCTTGACCCTTGCACAGCTAGGTCGTGTCTTGTTTATTGTAGCTACATCAAGATGCAAAGGTGTCTAACTGCAGCAGTAGGTTTAACAATCCAACACTAGTTTGATCACCAGCTGGATTCAAAGTAACAGTAGCCTATAACTTTGAGGCTACAGCAGCTCCTCCATCAGTTCCTGCTGTGACCAGCATCTTATTTAGATCTGATCCTTGAACAACAATCTGTGAGTTATCACCATTAATTTTATTGATTCCAAACCCTTTCCATCTGTAATCTACTTGCAGTCACACAATCACTTCCATTAGGAGTAGGTGAAACATCGGCAACGTCGACTAGAACTGTAGCATGCCTAGAAACAACTGTTGTATTTAGTGGCTTAATGACATCTGATCCCTGACCAACAACATGAGATTTTACACCTTTGTCTTCTGTTAATTCCAAGCCTTTTCCAATAGCACGATCCACAGAAGCATTAGCGACAGTCATCAGATTCACTATAGCAACAGTTTTATGATTCCCAGGTTGCAAATTCAAAGTCTGTTGCTGCCTACAAACCTGCATAACAGCAGCTTTATTCTCCACTCGATCAGTGATAGCCTTAGGGACAACTTTAATATTTTGACCAGCTCCTTTACCATCTGCAGCAGCTTCACTATGTATTGCATCAGCTGGAGATATGCTATTAAGA